CCCGCCAGTCCGGCCACCGCTGCACCCCCGGCCCCCGCGCCCACCAGCGCGCCGGGCCTGCAGTTCGCCTGCGCCCGGCAACCCGAGCTCGCCATGATGCATTGCTCTTACTGGGACCACGACAGCAAGACGGGAGCGCTGCACTCGCGCCTGGATCTCTGAGTGGCACCGTGTGCGGGAGCGGCCCCGAAGTGGAGGAGCCGAGCTCGGGTAGCAGCCGCAGCAGTCAGCCGGACAGCGTACACTCCGGGACAGCCTTTTGAGCCAGAGCCCTCGAGTCTTCTGCGCGTCCTCGTTCCGCCCTGCTCCTGCGACTCCGCTTTGTCGCCTCCGCTGTTCCTCCGGTGTTCTTCCCCACCGGGCCTCTGTCTTCGCTCTGTCCTGACCGGAGACCGCCCTCTCCGCGCTTTCCACAGGCCTCCTCTCCTCCCGGAGTCCCGGAGTCACCGCAGGGAGTGTGTCTCCGGCCGAGCTGCGGCCGAAGTGTCGGCGGCGCTGACCTCTTGGCCTTCTCTTCCAGGTCGGTGGACCTGCGCTCGACTTTCTCCATCCCACAACCGCCGCGCTGTCTGTGGCTAGAAGCGCTGGACTGCTGGGGTAGCAGGACCCACGCTGCTGGAGAAAGGAAAGAACGTGCCTCGTCGCTCTGCGATCCCTCCAGGAACTGATCAGAAGCCGCTTGCAGAGGGGCCGGCTGGGCGGGGCGGGGGTTGAGCCCCAGGCTGGAGCAGGGACAGCCTCGTTCCGCGGCCTGTAATCCGGTTCACATCCCCTCGCCTAAAGAGGCCGCGGTGCCTCCGCTCTTCAGCGGACTGCTTCGGGTACCTCCATGCCAGGGTGGCTGGCTAACGTCTTGCTAAAAAGATCGGTGAGGTCTTTAAAATATATTAAAATATACTTTTTAAGGGGAAAAGAGAGAGAGAGAGAATAAAACTTTCATCGGGAAAAACGGTGAAGTGTTATGGCCTTTGCTAAAACCAAACAACAAAATCAAAAGTTTTAGTTTCTTCATCGTCCCTGCCGGGAGATTTGTGTAGAATTCCCGTAGTCACTTCAGAAGGCTGCGCTCAGAGCCAGGAGAAAATAACTAGCTAAAAGAAGAGTCCCACTACAAATCGGGAGTTTTCTATTTTAAAAAATAAATTCAAAACAAATTTCCCCGGATCTTCCGATTCTAGCCCGTGATGCCAGAGGATCTCTCGCTGCCTGGCTGGGCCCCACTTCGGGGATGACACTTCCCTCCCTAGTTTTTGTTTTTCAAACGCCTTGCTTCTACCTTTGGAAGGAGAAATGTGAAACCGGCCAAGGCCGGCCCACACGGGCTTGTGGCCCCAGCCGGCTAGCCCGAAATTTCCGAGACCTGGTGGTTGGGTAATGTCTTCGGGGACCAAATTTTCTAGAGTAAACCAGAGCACTTTTGCTGTATTCGTATGTGTGCGCGCCTCCCTTGTCAATTCCCAAATAAATTTTTTTTTTGTTTTTTCTTTTAACGCGGACTTACACTGTTTCTTTTTACGTCGTAGTTCAGCAGCTAGCTAGCTCAAAGAGAGAGCTCTTCAGCAAAACTGTGGCCTTTCAAAAAATGACACAAACAAGGGTTGAGAGCAACCAGCGTGGCAGTGGCTTATGACTGTCACTACTGCGCTACTGCTTTGTTTTTCTGGAGATTGGTTTTCTGTGTCGTGGCTGTTTAACACCGGCGAAGTTACCGGCGCCTCACTAGAGGCTACTCTAGGCATGGCTTGTTCTAATTTTTTGTGCCCGTGTAAGTTTATATTTTGCCTCTTATATAATTGTACTAGGTGTATGCACGGTGTTCTCACTACTATCCTCATACTACTAAGGGTTTTTTAGTCAAATATAAAACATTTTGTAGGAGTTTTTTCATATAAAATCCGGATTTCAGAAACACACTGCAAGCTTCAAACTTTTCTACACTATACTAGCTGACTTGCTGTACTGTTGTTTTTAACAATTCACATTCATTTGTCGTGAAATAAGAGTAGAAAGTTTGGTACTTTTCCGGAACTTGAGTGCACTACAGAGATGAACTTCTGTTTGTTTGTTTTTTTTCCTTTACTGAGCTCATGAAATAACGAATTAAGATCCGTGTTTTCATTAAGATACAAAAGGTGTTTGACCTGGTGGCAGTCTAAATCTCTCCGACTGATTAGAGGTAGCTGGCTTTCAGTTTTCAGAGGGGGTGGCAGTGATTGGATCTCTTCCAGTGACTGGGAGCTGATATAACAAGGACTAGATCCCATGCTGAGCCCTGCGTCTTACACCTCCTTTCTCCCTCCTTCGGTAAGAGACAGGTCCAGAGAAATAAGCTGGGAGCAGCAGTGAGCTTGGGGAATGAGTTTACAGGTCTCCATGTCCCCTAACTGAAGATCTAACCTTGGGAATGTCTAATAGTATCTAGACTGTATGTTTCTGGGATCAAGGGGAAGTCATTCCCACTCCAAATGCCCTTTCCTCCTCCTCCTCCAAATATCTCAGAAGAAGGATCCAGGGTGGTCGAGAAGGTTCTGTGGATTCTCAAAGGTAGAGACTAAAGCCTGTCCAACCATTGCGGGCAGACTGAAAGGAGATACTCCATCGCTGCAGTGGGAAGTCAGAAAGTTTGATCAGGCCCGAGGCTGCTTCTGTAGCTGGATGTCTCGACTGTCTGATTAAGGGGAGGGGGTCCCAGATAAAGATAGCATGCTGTGTGTGCGTCTCCACGATTTCTGTATCGAATATGTGTCCTACGGATAGTTGTGTAGTTTGTGCCTGATGTAAATGTGTTTATAGTGTCTGTTATTTAACGGTGGTAGGGTAGGAGGTGTGTGTTTATATATCATTCACCTGCAAAGAGGGAGAATGGCATATTTAGGACCCTGTAATAACCGTATGATGAACATTAGAGAGTGCGTACTGGACCATAGTGTGTGCAGCCTGCATACCTCATGCTTATGTAAGCGGTTGTGCTCTGAGTGTGTATTTCTGGCTTGCTGAACGATAACAAAGTATGTACACCCTTCACTTCATCTGGCAGAGGCTCCCTGTTCTGGGACTAGTTGTCAGCACCCCTTCAAACTGCTATCCAGAGCAGAAGACGGGGACAGCTTCCGAGGCAGTGCTCTTGGTAGACAGGTCACTGCCCACCTCCAGTGAAACGGAGAAGCTGAGCAGAGCTGCACCCAAGAACTAATACCAGCAAGAGGCATCTACAGCGGGGAGGCTTTGCCAAGTAAGGACAATTAGATGAAGGAATTCCTGGGGGCTTCCCAAGAGTCTACACCGCGGTTGGAGGAGGTAAGAGAAGGGAGCCACTTCGGGCGTGGATGCCTCCCGAAAGACATCTGTCTCTAATTCCAGCCCTAAGGGGTTCTCCAAAGCGCGAAAGTTTAGTCGGTTTCCCTAGTTGGGGACAATAACAGATCTTGTTCGGCTCAAATTTCCTTTCTCTCCTCTCCCTCTTTGCACTTTTGAATTTGTTAAAGAATCTGACTCAGATAACTTCCTAAATGAGAGCAAAGGTATTTAAAAGAGTCCCTGACACAGCACAATTATGCCTTCCCATACACAGTTTGACTTGAATAGCTAGCAGCAGCCCATGTAGGTATGAGCATACATGTTTGTAGTGTGCTCTATAAATGTGACACAGAGTTTGATGCAAATATCCTGCCAATTTCTGAAGGTTCTGGGTAATGAGTTGTTAAATGTGGTGAATGATGTGTGGTGTGTGTGTGTGTGTGTGTGTGTGTGTGTGTGTGTGTGGTGACAGGGGGTGTATAAACATCTCCAAACCCTGACAGAATACAGCGTTTTCTCACTTTTACATCCAGATTCTTACAGTTACTTTTGCTTTCCCTAAAAGCCTAAAGTGGGTTGGTGGAGAGAGATACAACTCTCTAATGGGACTAGGGAAACATTTTCACCAATGCAGGAGATATACTGAGGAACTGTGCATGCGATGGTGACCTAAATAGTATTGTTCCTAATCAGTATAGTTCCACGCTCCTCGCTAGGGCTTGGAGGGGTATTTTTTCTTGGGCATCCGTAGAGAGTTCTCAGCTCTATACCCTGCTTGATGGGCAAGATGCCCAGGCTCTTTCACCTGAAGTTAGGGGCAGTTAACCTTTTCATCGTCTTCTGCAAGCCAAGCCTGAACAATCAGCCTTGTAGAGCCCCCTGGTGTTGAGTAGAAACCGGGAGGGGGGGTGCAAATCCAGTCTTCGCTGGAAAGTTCTTTGGTGAAGGCTAGGAGCTTTCCTACCCTGGCTAAAAATTTTGCCCCCCCCCAAAAGAGGGCCCCAAGGCCAGGAAGTGATTTGGTCAAACCCAAGATTCCCAAAGGGTCACCCACTTTTTTTAAATAGCCATTAACTGTGTCCTGTTAACTGTGTAATCACTGGATGGCAGTCCCTTTAGAGACACCCATGGAGCCTGTTAAAAAGGGTTGAAACCAGGGAGCCAGATCTCCGGCATAGGACAGAATAGGGACCAGGGGCAATGAACTGACAGGAGCAGTATTTTTGCCCTGCCTTCTTCCCCGATGATTCTTCAAACCAAGAGGGTCAGTGGCTGTGTGCTTTCTGGACAGAGAGGGTTCGGTGCAGTCCCAAAGGAGTGCCTGGGTCCCAGGAACCAAACAGACAATTGAGTACTTGAAGATCTGAAGTGGCCAGCTGCGGGTCACTAGCCTCAGAAATCCTCAGAGGAGCCTGGAGAGCAGGTGGCACTAGCTGTCTCCTGGCTCTGTGAGTCACTCTCTGAGACAAAGTGCCACCCTGAGTGTGAACTGAGGCAGACCCTTCAACAGGAACTGTAAATTGTGACTCTGGTTCTGACTTGAGATGAAGCTGTGACACCTTGTTCCGAGTCCATGTTACCCCAGAGAGGTGGCTCCTGCAGGGTGAGATATAGGTAGGAGCCTATATGCTGGGAAGAACTGGTGTGGAAGCCAGCTATCCTGTTTTAATAACTATAATCTTGGCTAAATGTTTGGTTCCAGACTTCAGTTTTCTCGTCTAAAGAACAGAGATCTACCAGTGTGATTACAATAGTTAAATATTCCGATTCAAAATACTTAATTTGTTGTTGACTAAGAAGGGAAGAAGGGTCAAGCCTTTAATAATAACTCCATGGAGTCCCAGTTGTCACTGCCAGGTCACCAC